AATAACCACTATAGCATAGCCAAGAAGACTATTAAGCGGTAAAAATCAATTTGAAGTGAAAAAATTCACAGTGTTATGTGAAGTTCTTGTCATTAGTGGCCGACATATATTTGCACCTGTCCTGGCGAGCGATAGTTAAAACTGCACCAAATGTATTACATACTAAAATATAGAGTGATCTTTAAAACAATCTTAAGTATTCTCCAATGTTTTATCTAACGATAAAGAGTAAAAATACAGAAATAAAAACTGATTTTAGAGTACAGGAATAAGAAATCTTTTTACTGACACAACTATACTGACACAGATTAAACTGCCGCTGCACGTCGATCAAAATCGTGCGCATTTTTCTTTTACAGCTCTAAAAAGCGTTTCTATAATAATATGTCAGTAGAAAACCTCCATTAACACAATTTATACGCCAGAAAAGTTTTTCCCAGAGAGGAAGACGTTAGATAAACAATTCAAACAGCAAACTTACCTGTAGGCGACGAAGAATTACAAGAAACATCAGAAAGGAAACTCAATATTAAAATCTGAAAACAGAAACACAAAACAGAATTGAAAAAGAGAAATATAACTCGCGGCAAATATAACAAATATAAAAATCTTTTATTGTTTTATCTGAGAATAAATGTTCTACTAAGATCCACACTGACCTTGACGAGCAGATATTGTAAACTCATTTTTTAGAATCAAACTTGACCAAGATGGTGTCTTGAGCGTCTTTGCTTGTAAGATTTTCAATATTTTCACTAAAACACGGCTTTCATTTGCGGACAATCGTCGTTTACATGACTTTTAAAAGTTATTGGAAGCAGCAAATAACACTGGTGCCTTCGTCACTGCTACCTTCATTATTTATTTATGAGAAACATTTGTATTTTTTTCGCTTTGGGTTTAAACTCTAGCATAAATTTTCAATCTCAATATATTTCTTTTACCTGAGGAAGGAAAAATTCCACCTTTTAACTTATTTAAATATAGTTCCAATCGCTGTTTGCAAGATTTTATTCAAATTGAAAGCAATACGGTTTTCAAGTGAAAGTAAAGAAAAAAGATTATAAATTACGTCTCGATTCTATAACACGGTTACCATGACATCACATTGACTCCATACACCTGTTTAATGGTGCTTCTCCTTGTGATTGGTTTGTTGAATATCACGTGACAGAAGACAGCTAAAAAAACAGTTTCATTAGGGAAAAGTCAAAATGATTTCTTATCTAAATTTAAAAAGCAACCTTGGTTGGTTCAATTCAAATTACTTCGCTTTCAGATACGAGTTTCGAAAGCTGAAAGYGAGACATGTATAACTTGACAAATGGCCCTTAAAAGTCCAAAACCACTTAAACAAAATAAACATCTTGAAATTGAAACATGCCACTTGAAAGTTTCGAAAATTTGAAATTAAAAATCTGGAAGCTGCGAACGATATTGTCTACTGAGAGTTCCAGAGCAAAATTAATCTATCTCATGATAACATAACATAACATAACATAACATAACATAACATAACATAACATAACATAACATAACATAACATAACATAACATAACATAACGTAACATAACATAACATAACATAACATAACATAACATAACATAACATAACATAACATAACATAACATCACATCACATCATAAGAGAACAGAACAGAAAATAACAGAACAGAACAGAATTATTAATTCTCTCGCTCTGTCGTTGCAACTTTCTCAGTAAAATTACAAAACACAGTTTGAGATTTTTCTGTCCAGCTAAGGAAAATAAAGTGTTTTTCAAAGTCAAAACATTCTATTTTGATAGTGCATGGGATTAATGAACAGATCTACCAATTAAATCGAAGCAGTAATTAAGCAAACAATTCATCCGTAACAACAAAGGGTTACCAAGCAATGCCGACTGTTGTCAGTAAGTCCATCTATTAGCATATTTACTGCTACAAAACCCCTGGCAAATCGTACTAATAACAGAATCGTGCTTAATCAGAACTTAAACTCCGGGATGAACATCTAAGAATTGGAATTACATAGAAKAGCCCCAGTTCTGATCGATTTTTAGTGGGAACAGAGGTGTCTTTCGTCAATAAGCTTACAGAAGATCAACTCTTTGAAAGCTGTGAAATGACTCACGTTCTAACAAACCCCGACTTTCCACATGGCATGAAATTTCGTTCTAAATCCGTGGATGTGGCAAAACTGCATGGTCGGAGAAAGGAAGGTATCTCAGTTAAGGATTTTAACAAAATACGWAGCCTTTCAAGGCAATCGTGGAGCCGCGAATATGAAGATCCAGGCAACCCTCTACCACGGGTCACAACAAATCACTACCAGACAACTTATAACTCAAGTTACCGATATAAATTACTGGACGAATCTACACCAAATAGACCTACATCTCCCACAAGAAGAAATAACCCACATCCAACAAAGTTAGTCAAAAAGTTTTCCTATCTATATTTTAGTCTTAAATAACAAAACTAATTGATCAACATATGGACTTGTTTACATGCTTGTAACTAAACAACACTAGTTAATATATAAGCCTATATCGTTCGCGTTATGATTTAAGTTAAGAATTTCTAGGCTGAAATAATATTTTAAATGCAAACAGTACTTCATTGAGGGTGTTTTTGCAAAGTTGTTTTGAATGATAAGTGCATGGCTCTTTGGTATACAAGCTGTCGAGTCTCCATTGTAGTCCCATTGTTTAGTATAATATATCCATTGAACCCTGGTGCTTTCCATTATATTCAAGTCCAAAAGTCACAGCGAACTGGACCGCTGCTTTGCAAATTCTAACATTAATATTGTATACACTTACATGCAAAGTGCGATAAAACTTTTTAATACTTCACAACTACAGTCACAAAAAAAAACGTTTTAACTTTTAAGACATTAGTACCTCTCATGGTTTTATTTGTAAAAGTTATCTATAAGTTTTATTTATTGGTTTTATCCAGTTTTAAATATTGATCTACATGCAATTTATTCATTATTAATATGCCTGTGTACGACGAAATTCTCAAATTTATTCATTGTTGCAGAGCTTTTCTCCATCTACGCCTGAGGGAAGCCAGTGGATTCCCAAAACCTAAAGTCAAACTTGGACAGGATCCACATAGAGGTTAGAAGAAATAATTGTAAATAATACAAATGCCAAGATTATGGCCTCCATCTCATTGGAGTACGATGCAAGTTGTACGAAGGGTAGATAAAGTTATCCTCCCCATAGATTTTATATGGATTTAATCCGCTGGATAAAGGTTTATGCGACAGATACCATTTTTCACCCTAGGCTAGTAAAACCAGTCCCAGGTTTACCAAACCACAACAAAGAAGAGCCTGGTGTAAAAATATTATATATAAATATTATCGTTCACTCTAGTTCACCATTTCAGTTTATCCTTCTTCTTGATTAATAATTATTACTAATATATTCACCTGACAAAACATTTAAGTAAAGAAGTACAAGAAAAAACTACATTGCATGACTTGAACATAGAGCGAATGAGTGTTTACAACCTGTGAGCAACTAATCATTTTTTAACCGCTAGCTGGGTCTGCCCTTGTAGGTTTCACTGGGTGTCAAAAGTTAGTCCACTGGCATGAATTATTGAATATGTCATAAAAATCTAAGTTCGTATACAATTCTTAATTAAAGTTCCAGGTCGACCACCAAAAGAGCCCATTGATGTCCAAAGAACCATGTATTTTACATTAAAAGAAATCAAAGACTTACAAAGACGTGGAGCAGAGGAGGTAAGGAATGAAAAATCTGGGTCTGCTTGGGTGAGAAATAAAAGTGAAATTGTCATACACAACTCACTGATAACATCATATTAACTCAAATTTTATGTTTAGACTTTAAAAGCAGCCTTACACCCCAATGTTGTTCCTATCACTCAAGCATGGATGAAAAATGCATCACAAAGAGGTAAAGCAAATAGGGGGTGTAATATCCTTACAGTTTTTTCAAAAGTGGCAGGGGTGGGGATAGTGCTAGGGTTTGATTTGTAAAGAGAAACTGTAGGACATATAACTGCAGGTGAGAGTCATGGAGACTCTTCATTGTGCTAACAAGAATATATCACATCTCTTTCTAATAACAGTGATAAGTCAGTGGTTAATAAGTATGTCATAATGTTCTTTGTAATTTTACAGATGCAAATGCAGTGACAAAATTCTTACAAGATACTACAAGAGATGGGGAGCTTGAGAAGGTTAGTGTAAAATATGAAACTGCTTATTTTTATGTTCAAAGCATTTATTTTTTCTTATTTTATAGAAATTAAATAAAAATCAGTAAAAAGTTATCTTTATTTTTGGAAAAGATTACTTCGAGATTGAAAGACTAAGTTCAAATATTATCAACCACTGTTCAAATCCTATCTGTCTGACAATTTGTGTAGATCTATTTCTCTTATTGCATAGAACGTGGAGTATTTATTATTGCAATATTGACAATAATAATGATATTAATTATTATTTTTGATACTGCTAAAATGGTTGAGTTGACTTTGTACTAATGTTTTTCTATGTTTCCAGACTGTTACTACAACGTTTAAGCCTGATATTGTCCCAGCTGTCAGTAGATGGCTAAAGCAAGCTGGTTCAGAAGGTTTTTACTTTTACTTATACTATCACCAAAACACTTTTACCATTGCTTGCATTGCTAAGTGACTAACCCAGATAAAATGCATATAACATGCAATTAGCAATAGACAACAATCAATCAAAATTTTCAAACAAACTGGAGGTGTTAAAGCACTTTTGTTGATATACAGCAGTCTGTTGCTAATCAGAGATGGGGAGTTTTATTGGCCGTGTCAAATGCAAATGGCAGTACTAGAATATAAATTTCACAAAATGTATGTATTTAAATTGGTTGTTTTTTTTAATAGAAAAAGAAGCAGTGATGAGACTAATCCAAACCCTGTCCACCGATCCATACAAGGGAGCCTACATTGATCCAAAACATACAGGTCAACTTGACCCAAACCGCTACCTCCTTGGAAAATACACCATTGAGAAACCAGTTMGGGATTTAACTTATGAAATTAACCCTGATTATAGAAGAAAGAAAACAGAATTCACTAGAGCACCAGCATCATTCCTTTAACAAAACTTGTAATTTTACTAGATACGTTTAGTTTTAGGTCAGTAAATTACTTRATAAAAATAATTAATGTTATRGTTCAGTAAAAAGTTGCACTGTCATAATCAAATCAACAGAAATTGCATGTTTTGCAAATATATATAACAATAAACATGGAGGATCAATTTGATTCTTATTAGTTGGTATGTTTACACACAGCTAGTGAAGCTTTTTTTTTCCTATCTGAGGCATCCTTGGGAACCCAGGGGTAATCTTCTGTCGTTCGTTCTTCACTCCCAGAAAAAATACCCCTGGGCACGAAGTCTGTTAGACCTTGTTCTCGATTCGAAATTCAAAATGGCGGCCAGTAAGTTAATCAACCAATCAGAATGTTCGAGTGAATCACTCGACCAATCAGAGATTTACCGGCCGCCATTTTGAATTTCGAATCGAGAACAAGGTCTAACAGACTTCATGCCCAGGGGTATTTTTGTGGGAGTGAGAAACGAACGACAGAAGATTACCCCTGGGTTCCCGAGGATGATCTGAGGTGAATTACCACATATTAAAACAATTCTCATTAATGAAAAGAGCTTAGTTTTGAGGGGCATAATATTATCATAACTTAGTAAAATTGTTGTCAGCAGTTTCATTAGAAGCTGGAAACCACTAAACTCCAATGTCTATTTTGATCATTGGACCAGCTACAGGTACTTTTGCAAAATTTTAGTTGTAATTCTTGTGGCCCTTTATGATTCACACAATGTTACTTCAAATTTAATTACATACCTGGTGGTTTTTACATATTCTTATAATAAAAACATGATATCAATATTTCTCACACAGTAGCACGAGGGCAATAAATTGGGTTTGTTTGATCACATATGTCACAATAAATTAACTCAAATGAAATAACCACTGAATTACAAAAGTAATAACAATTTGATCACAAATGTGACATGGCCTCGCATCATAACCACATTTTCTACCAATGGTAATCTAATTTGTGCTAAATTATTAGATTTGTGTAATTGTTATGTACATTTGCTGTCAGTATTACATTTGTGACAAATGGTCATTCCATTCGTGATCAGTTTGTGGCCTCTACAATGAATGATTAAATTTGTCCTTTGCAGTGTGCTTTTATTTTGGGCTTCCTCTGCCTTCCCTAYACAGGCAGCCCAACCAAAACATCACTTGGCCATTTCCTGAGGGTGGTTATTACTTGATGAAGGCTCCACTGTAAACTCATTCTGTTCACTCAATAAACCAACACTTTCTAAAGGTCTATGGTAAACACACCACATCATAGATGGCTCAACTAAAGACCTTATTTGACTTGCTGTAATGTCAAAATGTTGAAATCCAAACTGAACTCCACTTAAAGCAAGCTTAGCACCTAGTTTAGTCGCAGGAGAGGTATCAGGGTGTYGCAGAATATCACGAAGATGCATCCAGCAGCCATCTTGGATTTCATCATTGCATAATATTATATCATGTGTCAATGGCTTCATTCTACATACCACATAAATGTCTGACTTGTTGAATGTTGCTTTTGATTTATGTTGCTGACGTAAAAGGAGCAGAGCCTGGAATTCTAGGGGACAAAAAGATAACATGCATTAATAATGAAAATTTTGAAGTTTTCAAGTAAGGACAATACTTGAACACATATTTGATGAAGTATACAATAGAGCAAATGCAGGGAAACCACAAAAAAAACTCAAACTAAATACTAACAAATAGCGGCTAATGAGAGACAATTTGTCAGTATCAATGAACCAGAATGCAATGAAGATGAAATTCACATGGGACCATTTTTAATTCATCTTTATTGCATTCTGGTTCATTGATACTGACAAATTGTCTCTAAATAGCCACTATTTGCTAGTATTTAATTTGATTTTATTTCATGGTTTTCCTGCGTTTGCTCTATTATCTTATTGGAGCCCTAACCTGACTTTATTCCAGTTTCTTCAAAAACCTCTCTTTCTGCTGTTGCTCCTACAGTATGTGGGGAATAAAATTAAAAAAAAGACTCCAAAAATTTCCAACAAAGGACAAATGACAATGTTGTTTGCACAGCCCAAAAAGGCATAATTTCCAAACATTTGGTGACATCATCCTAAAAACACTAAAGGGAAGGGATTGCAATTTATATCGCAATGTATAGATTGTAGACACATTCTAAGTACACCTTAGTAATTTTACATTCAAGTTTTTTTAGATTTACTTCTTTTTTATTACAATCTTAATTCACAATACTTTCAAAGTGCTTTTCTCTCCCTTACCAATATTTTCTCCTTCATCTGATAGTCCACCAGGAAATTTCCAAAATGTTTTATATTTTCCTCCTAGTTTGTACTAATTAAAGCATGGAAGAGCATTAGAAACAAATTTGCATG